TATTATGTTGTATCACTTAAATTAATTTGTATATATTGGACCGTCCTTGCATCTCTGGGCTGAATTCCACTTGGTCGTAATGCATGATCTTTTTAATGTGTTGATGAATTCTATTTGCTGGTATTTTGTTGCCTCCTGTATAGTTTTTTTTTTGTTTGTTTTGTGTTTTGTTTGTTTTGTTTTGTTTTTGAGATGGAGTCTCGTTCTGTCACCCAGGCTGGAATGCACTGGTGCAATCTCAGCTCACTGCAACCTTCACTTCCTGGGTTCAAGCAATTCTCCTGCTTTAGCCTCCCAAGTAGCTGGGATTGCAGGTGCACACCACCATGCCCGCTAATTTTTGTATTTTTAGTAGAAATGGTGTTTCACTATGTTGGCCAGGCTGGCCTCAACTCCTGACCTTGTGATCTGCCCGCCTTGGCCTCCCAAAGTGCTGGGATTACAGGTGTGAGCCACCATGCCCGGCCTATATTTTTAATTATCTCTAGATTACTTATACCCAATACAATGTAAATGCTATGTAAATAGTAGCTCTGCTATATTGTTTAGGCAATAACAAGAAAAAACTCTGCATGTTCAGTACAGATGCGATTTTTTTCAAATATTTTTTATTTGCAGTTGCTTGAATCCACAGATGTGGAACCCATGGATATTGAGGGCCAATTGTACTGTGATGTGTTCATATAATCTCTCAGATTCCCTGTGAATGCCTAATGATAGCAATGTGCCATGGCCTAAGGAATATTCTCAAGTCAATCTTACACACCTGAAGTTATTCACATGATACGGGTCAAGTCCTAGGTCAACTTTTGCCCTTTGAGAATTCACATTATTTCTCCAAGCCCCTAAGGTCTTAACTAATCTGTAAAATAGTAATAACAATGCTTTTCTCACAAGGTACTTCTGAGGTATATTGTAGTTCTGTTCTCTTTGAGTCTCAAATCTTCGTTTTAAGCATTTTTGTACAATAAAATATAGATTGTACATGAAAAAAGTTTGACATCCGGAAAGAAACCTCACATGTATAATAAACAAAAATGTAGTAAATACAAAAAGTAAATAAGAGTTTTGGAAGGCTTCTGCTTCCAAATAAACTGGACTTGTTATTGTTAAATCATTCTCTGAAGTTTGATCTTTCTTCTGCCAATTACCTGAGCAAGTTAATTTAGTTTTTTTTTTTCTCTCTCTCTTTTCTTTTTTTTCCGAGATGCAGTCTCCTTCTGTTACCCAGACTGGAGTGCAGTGGCGCAATCTCAGCTCACTGCAATCTCCACCTACCAGGTTCAAGCAATTCTCCTGCCTCAGCCTCTCCAGTAGCTGGGATTACAGGCGCCCGCCACCTTGACTTGCCTAATTTTTGTATTTTTAGTAGAGTCAGAGTTTTGTCATTTTGGCCAGGCTGGTCTCGAACTCCTGACCTCAAGTAATCTGCCCACTTCGGCCTCCCAAAGTGTTGGGATTGCAGGCATGAGCCACCGTGCCTGGCCAGTTTCTCTCATCTTCAGTTTCTTTATCTGTAAAATGGGAATGAAAATGGTACTCATCTCATATGGGTCTTCTGAATTCAAATGAGATGATCTTAGCATAGCACTTAGTATGCAGGAAATATTCAGTATATTTTAGATATTAATTTTAATGATCAGCTTGCCCAGGAAACATTGGCAAACTGTTATAATTTCCTAGGGTCAACTGTCTCATAAGTTTTATGTAATACAGGCTCTATCACTTCTTAAAACTTTTCAAGTCAGTTTGGAAGTTTTTCTTGCCTCCTCTCTTGCTTTTATAACCTGGAAAAGGTCTTGGGGAATGATAAAGCTTGTTTTTTCTTTTTTGTTGTTGTTGTTGTTTTCAGATTGTCCTGGTGTTTCTGTTTCTGGTTCCATGTTCAATCCATTTGCTGAACACCATGTAAGTATCCAGTATGTCTTTCCACCATAACCCACAGTTGGCATCTTGTTTACCAGAGGGGAGAGGTGAATGTTTTCATGTTTTTTGTTTGTTTGTTCAAGAGGAATTAATATATTTTGAAGATATATTTAAAAACACAACATAATTAGAGCCTTTATTTATAACCACCACTGTGTGTTAGTGATTAATATATTAATTTGGATATTTTAAAGACAGACTTTTAAAAGAATAGAATAAGACTCATTTAAATAATGCAGAAATGCTAAATAAACTTTTTTTTTTTTTGAGCAACTGAGTTTATTTTATTGCCCTGCTCCGGACACAGACATCAATCTGTTTTAAACACATCAGTTCTAGAAGTATCTTTAGAAGTATAGGAGGAAATGAGCATGTAAGAGTCAGTCAGTATTCAGAGATTAATACACTCCTTTTGTATAACCATTTTTGTTTGGTTTGTTGTACTTGTTTTGTTTTTATGTTAGTAAAATGTACTTTTTCTAAGTTTTTCCTTCACTATAAAAATATCTATCAGTTGGTTAAAGCAGGATGCAAATGTGGTGGGAATTGTGACTTAGGAGGGATTGGCAAACTTTTTCTGTAAACTAAATAAAGTTTTTAATGCAAGGCTGTCACAGATATTAATCAGATTCATGGAGAAACTGAGAAGCTACATAATTTCTTCATAGCCCTTTAATAATCTTCTTTGAAGAAATAAGGGTATTATGATATATAATAGACTACAAGATCATAATTAAATAATTATGCAAAAGTAAAGCAAGATTATATAAGTATACATAGAGACTCAGAATGTTTAAAATGTTCATGTCCAAAGTTGTGTACTATTTTTGTCCTGGCAGAAAGACCTCCATTTTATCTTTCTTTTTCTTTTTCCTTCCTTTTTTTTTTTAACACAAAATCTCGCTCTGTCACCCAGGCATGGAATACAGTGGTGCAATCTTGGCTCACTGCAACCTCTGCCTCCCAGGTTCAAGCTATTCTTCTGCCTAAGCCTCCCAGGTAGCTGGGATTACAGTCACACACCACCACGCCCAGCTAATTTTTGTATTTTTAGTAGAGATGGGGTTTCACCATGTTGGCCAGGCTGGTATCCAACTTCTGACCTCAAAGTGATCCTCCTGCTTTGGCCCGCCAAAGTGTTGGGATTATCGGTGAGCAAGAACCCCCGTGCCTGGCCAAGACCTCAGTTTTAAATACAGTCTTTACAATATCGTTTTCAAGTTGTAAGAAGTCATGGTGCTGAATGGCTCACTGTTCAACAGTTCACTTATTTCTGAACACACTGAGAAGAAAACATCCTTCAGTTCTTTTATCTTCTTCTGTCCATATATTTTACATCCCAATATTAGAGACACATAAACCAATCCATTTTCCATTTCAAAAATGCTTTGACCTCCATCTAGCTTTCCCACTGGAGGGCAGTAGAGAACCATCCAGGCCATCCCTAATCTGAACTAACTGGCTAATGTGACAAGTCAGACTTCAAAATACTTAACACTCCCCACTGATGAAAAGTCATAACCAAAGTATCTTTTCAGGAAACCTATTTTCTCCCATAAAAGTGCTATAATTGATCATGAAAATACGTTAAAAGAAATAAAGCAAAATGTGTTTGTAAAGTATTAAGTGGGCAAAATAAAAACAATATAAAAACCATGTCACAAATGTGCTTTTTTTTTTTTTTTGTGGTAGGATTTTTGTCAGAAGCTGAACTGGCTGAGGCTTCTTACAATACTATCTAAAAAGGTGCACTGGATGTAAATTTTACTCCATAAACTGATGTGTCAAATTGATGTCGCATTATTAAAAATAAAAATAATTTCAAGCTCTTGGCCAGCTAAAATGATGGAAAATGTAACTTCAGTTACTGTTAAGATTCTTCTGACACTCTAATTGACCATAAAGTCACTCATATATCCCAGGGGTTATATGCCTGGAAGCACCAACAATCCTCAGGCCACAGTGGTTAGGGCTGAGATTCTTTGGAGTATCAGAAATATGGTCCCTTGGAAGTGGGCGGGCCACTGATCTTTTCTGCCATTGGGACTGGAACTTTTTGTGAGGACCAGGAATCCCAGTGTCTAGGGCTCCACTTCCCTAAGACCTCTAGGCATCATGACCAGGTTCTGTCACCAGCTTAGATGTTTTCAGCAGTGGTCACAGGTCTGCCCTCTTTGCAGAGCTTCTACCCTGCTTTCACCCAGTCCTCTTCCTGCCTCCAAAGAGAATTGGTTTATCCCCACCATGCCCCTCCCCACCTAGATTTATAGTTTTACCTCTTCAGTAAGCTTGAGCTTTCACTAAGGGCAAGATCAGAGAAGATCTTTAAGCAGCTTCTGCTTTGTGTCCAGGAATATAAACCACTCCTGAGACCAGCAAGCACTGTGGGCTGGCAACCCTTAGCAGATGGTGGAAATGGAAGAAAAATTACACCAAAAACAAAACATACTCTAATGTCTGAACAAATCATCCTGCCACAGAAGCTGGAACTGAAGACAATTCTTTTCCTAGTAATCTTGTAGAAACCACAGGCATTCTTTATGTCTCTAAGCACCTTCAAACTGCATTCAAAATTAGGGTTGTGAATCTGGAAATCTTTCTTTGCTAATTTGTTGTACATGAATGCCTGCAGAAGCCTTTGAATGGTAAATACTGTGGGAGGGGCAGTTGCCATGGTGACTGTCCAATGGACCCTTTTTCTTATACTTCAATTAGATCTTCACTGCTGAACTGCTATGAATGAGAAGGTAACAACTCAGTAACATCTGGAAGACAGGAGAAGATGTGAGAGATGCTGTTCCAAATGTAGCTACATTCTAAAAGCACTGAGTTGTACTATGTTTGCCTTGAACCACCTCTTCATGGGTGCCCCTGCCCACTATGCCCTTTCCCACTGTGGGAAAATCTGTTTGGAACACACATGACAGTGGGCCAATTTCCTTAATATTACAAGAAGTGTTTACAAGTTAATATGAAAAAATACCAAAAGCACAATAGGAAAAAATGGGCAAAGGATATGCACAGGCATCTCATAGTAAAATAAAATAAGTGGTTTTAAATTGCATAAAAATGTATTTAACCTCATTTGTAATCAAGAAAATACATATTCAAATAGGATATAATTTTTTACCTATTACATTGGAAAAGATTTAAAAGTTTAATAAGGTACTGTGTTCAGAGGATGTGGAAAACCATCTTTTTTTACACTTAGATTGGGAGGGTAAATTGCTATAACCTCTTTAGAGAGTGACTTAGCTCCTTTTCTAGAAATTTATCCTACCAGTATACTAACAGTTGACTTAAAAACACAGGTAAAGGGATGTTTATTAAAGCATTGTTGAAGCAAATGACCATGACGGATGAAATGAATTAATTGATACATCCATAAAGATGCATCCAGACAGTTACTGATACTGCCACACATAGGCAGTTACTAATGATTTGAATAGGACTTGTCCCCTATAAAACTCATGTTGCAATTTGATTCCCAATGTAATGATGTTGAAAAGTCATGGGACCTTTATGAAGTGTTTGGGTCATGAGGGCTTTGCCTTCATGAAGGGATTAATGCTGCTCTCATGGGACTGGGTTAGTTCTCCAGGGGGTCAGTGAGTTCTTGCTCTAATGGGACTGAATTAGTTACCAGGGGGTCAGTGAGTTCTTGCTCTAACGGGACTGAATTAGTTACCACGAGAGTGGATTGCTATAAAGCAAGGCCACCCCTCATGTTTTGTCTTTTTTGCACACTCTTGCTCTCTCGCCATGTGATGCCCTTTGCCAAGTTATGATGCACTACAAAGCCCTTACCAGAAGCTGTCATCATGCCCTTGGACTTCCCAGTCTCCAGAACTGTGAACCAAATCAACTTCCTTTATGAATTACCCAGTCCCAGGCATTGTGTTATAACAACAGAAAACAGGCCAAGACAGCAGTTAAAGAATGGTATGGCATGAGTGTTTATTGTCTCGGTTTGACCTGAGGTAGAAATATAATTAATATGAAATCTCAAATCGGTTTAAGATGGATCCTATGTGCCAATTGACAAATGAAATATCCTTGAGAACTGGTTACAAGCATCTAGAAGGTTTAAGGATATTAACAGTGTCAGAGCATGGGAAGAGGGATTAAAAGATTTCTTTGGAAAAAATCTGTGCTGTGAACTCCATCCCTTCTACCCCAAGGGGATATATCCTGTGATCCCGAATATAATGAGGTAGATCTTCAGTGAGAGCATCTGAGAGCTTGGTAAGTGACCAGTTAGGTGGTCTGGGGTGTAACCCTCCCAAATCTAGAGGGCTAGAGATGGGCCAACTAGTTGCTTTGCTGGTAGAGCCACAAGAGTGCTAGTTAACAGACTGTACTCCCACAGTTTTTTATTTGGGAGGAGGTAAGGGTTTGATGAGGGTTTTCTGTAGACTAGATGGATGTGTGGCAGATGGGAGAAAAATCTAGGCTGAACTGTATTAAGTCCAACTCAAGAGGACCACCTGGGAGATGAGAAAGAAGTCTTCAACTATGAAAAATGTGTGGGTGCATCACCATGACCCAGGGCCGAGTGGGATGCAGCTAGGCTAAGGAGCAGAATATGTCACCTCTTCAGGAGACTTGAAGCTGGGTCACAGAGCTGGGTCTCCCAGAAGTGCCCAAGAAAGCTCTAGAAGGTAAAATGCCAGCTTCAGTCATCTGCTAGTTCCAGAGAAGCCACCAGCTAAGGAAGAACTGTCCTACCTCCTTACTTCTCAAACCCTTGCTTCAACCTTGGTAGCAAGGTCTGAAATAGCAGCTGTCAATGGGGGTAAACAGCCTCCCCAGTTGGGTTTGTGAGATGTTTTAAGGGATAGGGGCAGTGATAGTTTTAAGGGGCTAAACTTTCAGAAGCCGAGTGTTTATTCCTAAAGTTCATTTGTTTGAGAAATTTGCCCACAGCTGAGTGCCAATGCTGGTCCTTCTTTTCTTACCTACCCTTTCGAGCTCAGCTTCCAATTTACAAAAGAAAGCCATGTGTTCTGAATCTCACTATCATGCACTGACCCCTGGGCAACAAGCAGGGATTTTTGAAAAACTGGTGTCAACCTTGAGTAAATGAATGACCCCCCAAACCCAGTAACAATCCTTTTGCAAATCTCATGGTTTAATAAAATTGAAGGAGGATCTATCCTGCCAGATGAGGCCCTTTATGGTTGCCACTGGCTTTGCAAGCATGACTTAAGAAGTAGACTTTATTGAGTAAAGGAAAACCCCCCAGGTCAAGGGGGGTTTTAAACAAGACAAGGATCTTCAGTGTTCCTCATTCTACTCATCTTTCCATGTGAGTTGTTTCTAGGGCCAGGGCTTCTGCTGGACACTTTTATTTATTTTTTTTTTTCTAGTAAAGTGAGCCATTCCTAGAAGTGGCCTCCATGGGAGGAAGTGGCATCAGGCAGTCTTGATTTGGAGTGCCAGCTGTTTTCAGAAGTTGCCTAGGAAAGTTAGCTGTCTGACCCCTGGGGGCTTTAGGGACATCTGGAGCAACAGACTCTCTCTTTGACCTAACACTAATTGGGCTCTTTTAAGCCCTGAAGACCCAGACCTTGGGCTCCGTCCTTGGCTTGCTTATTCTGCTTTCAGAAAGAATCCTGGTGAGTTAGTGTCATTAGAATCCCCCACCCTTGGTATCTGACCACCCTTGATATCTGATGAAATTCCTCAACCCCTCTCCCTCAGTATCTTACTATCCTGGCTGCCTTCAGCTAGAAGCTGAAACAGTTTAGAATCCATCTTATTGCTGATGTTCCCTTTTAGTAATTTCCATCCACTGACCCCACCCTGCACCTTGGCCATAATTTCCCACTTGTCTTTGTATTCAGAAGGGAGCCCATTATAAACTGAGGTCTCTCTTTCCCTACTGCAATAGCTCCTGAATAAAATTTATCTTCACTGCTTTAACTTCTGTCTGGCTCTGGTTTTCTTTGACAGGAGTCTGCAGGATGTTAAAGGCCCCTCACCTGGGAGGAAACCATTGGTATCATGGGAAGTTGGACTTAAAGGTACTCATCATGATGGGAGAAGGGAGAGCCCCCACGACCCAGCGAGGCTGTAGTTCAGGTAATTCGTGGTGAGCAAATGAGTTGTTTAGAAGACACTTTTTAAGTTATATCCCAAGTAGAGAACAGTGAACACGTCTTAAGTATAGAGCTTAATGAACTTTCAGAAAGTGAACCTTCACACATAAAAAAAGAACACAGGATTATTTTAAAGATAAATATCTGCCTTGTATAATGACTTGTCAGCTGAGAAATCATTGCAGACAATCTCTAATGACAGATCAGAATGTGATATTTAAGGTTGAAAGGATTTTCTTCTATGTGTTTCTTTAAAGTTTTATTTTAGTTTTAATTGACACATAATGTAATAAAAATATGGAACACTTCGTGAATTCGCATGTTATTCTTGTGTAGGGGCCATGTTAATCTTCTCTGTATCATTCTAATTTTAATATATGTGCTGCTGAAGCAAGTACTCTTCTGTGTACTTTTGTCAACAAGGTTTTTTAGAGCTTTAGGTATAAAAGAAGAAATAATAGCAATAGAACTATCAGAGGCATTTGAACCACAGCAACTTCATCTTGAATTGGGGAGGGGTAAAATAAGGCTGAGACCTACTAGGCTGCACTCCCAGAAGGTTAAGCATTCTGTGTCACAGGATGAGAGAGGAGGTTGGCACATCAGACAGGTCATAAAGTCCATGCTGATAAAACAGGCTGCGGTAATGAAGCCAGCCAAAACCCATCAAAACTAAGGTGGCGATGAAAGTGACCTCTGGTTGTCCTCACTGCTCATTACACACTAATTATAATGCATTAGCATGCTAGAAGACACTCCCACCAGCGCCACCACAGTTTACAAATGCCATGGCAATGCCAGGAAGTTACCCTATATGGTCTAAAAAGGGGAGGAACCCTTAATTCCAGGAATTTCCCATCCCTTTCCAGGAAAAAAAACTCATGAATAATCCACCCCTTGTTTAGCATATAATCAAGAAGTAACAATACTTATAGCCAGCTGAGCATCCTGTGCTGCTCCTCTGTCTATGGAGTAGCCATTCTTTTATTCCTTTACTTTCTTAATAAACTTGCTTTCACTTCACTCTATGGACTCACTCCAAATCCTGTCTTGTGTGAGATCAAGAACCCTCTCTGAGGGCACTATGACATGCTGAGTACTTTGAACTAAAGGACACTGGAAGGTCTCAGGAGCAGCCTCAGAACCAAGGTCTCTCTGACCTCCTGCCCTCCTGTCTCCCACCCCTCCTTCTCTCCTGAAATAAGTCAGGAACAAGAATTCCTCTTCCCCAAGGGTGAAGGGGGGCCCTTAGAAGCTAGAACTCCCTTTACCCAAAGCAAGCTATTACTCCAAAGTTCCTCCAACCTTTCTGTCTAAGAGCTCGTGCAGAGGCCAGGGGGTTCCACTTGGCACTTTGAGGGTTTGCTGAAAAACCAACTTGGAAAAGGTAGACTAACTGGAGAAAAGGCATATACATTTATGTAATGTGCATATACAGGAGCCTTCAGAAGGAAGACCCAAAGATACAGGGGAAATTGTCCATTTTCATGCTTAGGTTCAAAAAAGTATGGACAGCCATGTAGAAATGTGATTAGACAGAAGGGTGTGATCTAATGCTAATAGACTAAATGGGGAAGTCCAGCAAGGCCTGTCTGTCCCTCTCTGAGCCTGCATTTCTTCCTTCTGGGTATGGGGCAGGACGCTTTCTGAAATGGGAGTCTTATGACTTACAGTCAAACAAGGAAGATCAGATAACTTTTTTTTTTTATGGCCAGTATTACACAGAAAGGTAGAGGAAAAGTTGGAGTATTATGTTCAGGTTTCATGGCTGGCTTTAGGGGAAAGGGGTTCTGGTTTCTGTGACCTGCCTTGGGGAAGAGGGATTCTAGTTTGTATGACTAGTCTCAGGGGAGAAACTTTTGTTCCTAAGGCTGCTTCTGAGGCCTTCATTTTGGGGTACTGTTTTCTGAGCCCCAACACTGGTCATAAAGATGTTCTCTGATCTGCCCTTGCCTGATAGTAGGTCATAAGACCTTACCTCATTCCAAAGGGTCCTGCCCCATACCCAGGAGGAATAAATGCTACAACAGAGAGGCCAAGAAGATTCTGAGCAGACAGGCCTTTCTGGGCTTCCCCACTCTATCTATTACTATTAGGTCATACCCTTTTGTCTAATCACATTTCTACATGGCTATCCATGTTTCATGGAACCTAAGCATAAAAACAAACTATTTTCCCTGGGTCCTTGGGTCTTCATTTCTGAAGCATTCTGGGTCATGTAAAACTGTGATTAAATGAATCTGTATGCTCTTCTCTTGTTAACCTGTCTTTTGTTATAGGAGTTTCTGCAGTGACACTTGTGATGGGGAGGAAAGGTATCACACCTTTCTGTCCCTACAGTTTATATACATAGTCAATACTCCTCCATGGAGACAGAAAAAACTGGTGATTGGGAAGGGGGACTGAAAGTTGGGGATCTTGGCCAGGCATGGTGGCTCATGCCTGTACTCCCAGAACTCTGGGAGACTGAGGTGGGCGGATCACCTGAGGTCAGGAGTCTGAGACCAGCCTGGCCAACATGGTGAAACCCTGCCTCTACTAAAAATACAAAAATTACCCAGGCGTGGTGGCAGATGCCTGTAGTCCCAGCTACTCGAGAGGCTGAGGCAGGAGAATTGCTTGAACCCAGGAGGCAGAGGTTGCAGTGAGCTGAGATCCTGCCACTGCACTCCAGCCTGGATGACAGAGCAAGACTCCATCTCAAAAAAAAAGGAAAGTTGGGGATCTGAGGTGAAAGGCAAGTCTATTTTTCATCATCTACCTTCATATTCTGCTTGATTTTTTTCTTTGCTTTTGCCATAAGCATATATTATTTTTAAAGAAAAAAGGGTATCTTTTATAAACCTACTGTGACAAATAATAAAGCAATAAAAGATATAAAGGAAGCATTGCAGAAAATACAAGGAGAAATGAATAGAAATATAAAAGTCATGGGAGGAGAACCCTCAAAAAACCCCTTTCAAGTTTTAACAATTGAGCAGACAAAAAATAAGTAAGGGTATGAATAGCAGTTCTCAATATAGGCTGTATATGAAGAACAATTTAGAAGTTTCTTTTTAAATGCTTTTTTGTTATGGAAACTTCAAACATATGCAAAAGTAATAGACTAACCAAATGAGCCCACATGGTCCACCACCCAACATCAACCATTATCAATTCATGGCCAACTGTATCGCCATCCACTTTCCCCCTTTCCAAATTATACTGAAGCAAATCACAGAAATCATATTGCTTTATCTATAAATATTTCCTCCAGTCAGTATCTCTAACATGTAAGGACTCGTTTTAAAAAGCATAACCACAATACGTTTATCACTTTTTAAAAATTAAAAATTTGTAAGTGTAGTATCATTATCACACTTAAAAATAACAGTAATTCCTTAACTTCGTCAAAAATTTAGTGTTAAAGTTTCCAATTGTTGCACAAATGCCATTATTAAAAAGCTATGTTTATTTCATTTTAGTTTTTTGAGACAGGGTTTTGCTCTGTCATCCAGGCTGGAGTGCAATGGCATGATCAGGGCTCACTGCAACCTCTGCATCCTGGGCTCAAAATCTTTTTGCCTCAGCCTCCCAAGTAGCTGGGACTACAGGCATGCACCACTGTGCCTGGCCTATTGTTGTATTTTTCTTGTAGGGACAGGGTTTTGCCATATTGCCCAGGCTGGTCTCAAACTCCTGGAATCAAGCAATCCACCAGCCTTGTTTCCCAAAGTGCTGGGATTACACATGTGAACCACTGCCCCTGGCGAAAAAAGCTGTGTTTAACTCAGGATCTGAGTAAGGTCTATACATTTTGATTAGTTGATGTGTCTCACAAGTCTCTTATTGTAATCTATACCTAGGAAGTGTCAACTGAAGAAAGACAAAGTTCATAAATGTGGGAAGGAAAGCTTTGTGTCTCATAAAGGGTTGCAGCCTGCAGGATGGCCATTCTGACAGACTGGGAAGCACAGCCTCCAGTAAGAAGCCAGAAACAGACACTTCAAGGTAGGGGCAAAGGGAGCAGAAATTTATGCGGAGCACAGTGGCCAAGTATACATATTTATTAAGCTATAGGAAGAGTCATGAACATTTATGAAAGGAGAAACATGTGCATGCACAATTGAGCTTCATGCCTCTCCATGAGTCCCAGGGACAAAACATAGCAAAGTCAGCATGATCTGAGGGCAGAGTTTTTGGCCCTCTGATATCAAAAGGTGAAGCAGAGGACACACAAACCCTTACTGTGCCTTCTCCTTAGACTGGCCAGAACTACTTCAGTGGTGATCTCTTATCAGGCAAAAAAGGAGGGACTGCCTTAGGCACTTGGTTGATTGATATCTGTGGTGGAGTCTTTTGAAAGGGCTGGTTTCTGCTAAGCCCTGAGGGAAGAAAGCCTAATCATGGTTAGTCAGGGAGGGGGTATAACAAGGTGTGTCTGACCCCCCCATCCCATCATAGCCAAGAACTCAGTTTTCAAGGTTATGCTGGGGGCTCCTTGGCCAAGCGGTCAGTTGAGGGGCTTAGAATTTTATTTTTAGTTTACAGAAGCTTCTAGAAAATTTTGTTGTTCAGGCTCCATCCAGACGACATAGAATTTTACCTGAGTCCTATGATTGTGGAAAAAAGAAACAGCTAAGAATCCTTCCTATGCCCACCCATTTTGTGTTCTGGAAAAGGCCCATTGCGAAGGACCATGTTTTCCCATATGACTTAGGTGGGACTCAGAACAAATGCCTGTTAACCAAACTTTGGTTAAGATTCTCTCCTTCGCTCAGGTCCCCACAACATCTTCTTAGCAGCCCCTCAAGAATAGGCTGGCCTCAGAGCAAACCATTCTCTGATCTGTTATTCCATCAGGCCACCTTTTCATCCCAGGTCGTCACACCAGGGTCTTTCTTGTCTTGTTTACTTCTCTCTATAAAAGAAATCCCTTTTTGGCCTTGAGAACTGTCAAAATCATTAATAGGGAGGCCATTAGGCTAATACAGCTCCAGCACCTTGAGTTCCTAAGCAAACTAAAACCCAACTCAATGTAAACAATAGAGCAAAACTTAAGCTTAACCAATCAGAAACTGCCAACTAACCTCTAACTAGAGAATTTACCAATCAGGAATGACCAACGAACCTCTAACTAGGGATTTTCCTTTTCAACCAAGCAAATATTTAATTTGCCTTACTTCTATGAACACCTTTAAAAAGTTTCCCCTTACCTTCTTGGTGGAGCGCTAAACCGCTTGTGGTCTGGTACTGCCCCATGCATAAATAGCTGAATGCTCAAATAAACTTATTAAAATTTTAATGTGCATAAGCTTTTTTTTTTTTTTTTTAAACAGATCTTATGGTCAGAAGGTTCTCCCTGTTGTAATAGCTCTTCTCTCACTATTGCAATAGTTCCTCCCACTCCCCTTTGCAATATATATTTTTTTAATAAAGTCTTTCATCACTAAGTCTGGATTTGTTTTTTATTTCACAATTCCCAGAAATTTTGATGCATTCTCCAGTTGATTATAATATGAAATGAGAATTGAGAGCCACTGCTTAGAGGATGTGAACAATGCATTTACTAGGACAACCTAATACATACACATATCTGTGTTAGTGTGTGTTCCTCCAGAAAGGAGATTTAGGAGGTAATCTCAAGAAGCTCAAGAGAAAGAGCAGGAACTGTGAGACAGGAAGGGGAAAAAGCCCATCCAGGGTGCATAAAAAATGAGTGGATTTCTTCTGTGGGCGACTGAAGCTCAATCTTTCTGGGGATTCTAGGAAGAATATATAGAACACACCTTAGATTTTCTCTCTCAAGGGACAGCAAAGCTGGGGTTTGTATCCTGTTTTTCCTGTTCCTCACTGATTGAGAATTGTCTCTGACAGTTTCAAATCTCAAACACTGCTGGACTGTCCCTGGAGCAACTTCAGGTAGACAAGCAGAGAAATGTACAGGTTCTTGAGGGGAACTGTCCCGTCGGCACATTGTCCAATGCAGCTTCAGGCAAACTCTGAGGGGGGCCAAAGGAATATGGAGTTGGAGGTCAGTAACATCTGTTGCAACATTGAACTTCACACCTATTGAGAATATCCTTTTTAATTCTTTCAATTATCAGTGAGTATCAAAATTTGACCACAAAGAAGTCTCTACATTTTCCCAAATAGAAACTTTAACTAAGATTTGTTGAATGCTTACTATGCGCTAAGGCTTCCCAGGTATTTATTATCTTTATTTAACTCTTAGGGCAACCATTTGAGATCGGTATTGTTGTCATCTCCATTGTACAAATGAAGAAATTCAGCCTTAGGTTAAATAATTTGCCCAAGAACATATAGTCAGAAAAAGACAGAGCAGGGATGCAAACCCCAGCCTTCTGACTCAAGCATTCAAACTGTTAACCACTATGAGGTATGCTTCACCAAAGCCTTTACTCATAATGTGGAAAAACAAGAAGTTTATAATAACAATGGTACAAAATGATCAAACAATAAATATGCCAACCATTTGGAGATTTAAAAAATTTATCTGATTAGACAATGAAAGCAATGATAAGAAAAACCCTATAAAGTAAAACGTATGGGTTATGGTTAAAATTGTGATAAAAGGGAATAGCACTATAAATATGAAAGAGTGACATATGAATTAAACATTCTACTCAAAAGGTTATGGAAAGAATAAAGCTTTGGAAAATGGAAGTGAGGGATTCATAAAAATGACAGCAGAGTGGATTTTCATTTCAGGTAAAGATGGAATAACAGAAACTGGATTGATCCTCCTGCTGAAACAACGAAAAAATAGACAAAACATGTGAAACTGTAACTGCTCAATGGACTCTTCCTGCCCACTGCACAAACAAAATCAATTCCTGGAGACCATGGCATTGCAGTAAAGAAAGAGTTTAATTGATGTAAGGCTGGCCACATCACACAGGAGACAGAGTTATTACTCAAGTCAATCTTGCTGAAGGCTCACAGGTTCAGGGTTTTTCAAAGGTAGTTTGGGGAAAGGAGTAGGAATGCTCATTGGTGATTGGTTGGAGGTGCAATCAAAAGGGTGTGGGAAATGATTCTCCTGAGTGCTGAGTCACTTCTGGGTGGGGTCACAGGAGTGGTTGGTGGGTCCAGGCAGAGCCATCCATTATTGGACATGCAAAAAAACTGAGAAGATATCTCAAAAGGCCAATCTTAGGTTCTATAATATTAATGTTATCTGCAGGAATAATTGGGGAAGTTGCATATCTTGTGACCTCCAGAATAATGGCTGTCAATTGTCTGTGTCTACACCTTAGCAGAATTTAGGCTCCTCTATCCTTCTCGCCTGGTGGTCTCTCATTAGCGTTACAAAGGTGGTTGAGTTTGGGGGAAGGGCTATTATCATGTAAACTATAAACTATATTTCTCCCAAAGTTAGCTTACTTAAACCTAGGAGGGCAGCTTGAAGGCTAAAGGCAAGAGAAGTTGGCTAGATCAGATCTCCCCTACTGCCATAATTTTATCACTGTTACATAATTTTTATAAACGCAGTTTCAAAACAATGATTTTTTTTTAAGGCACTCGACATCAAACAACAAAAGACAGATTCCTTCACAGGAAACAAAGGAGGTGAACCCTATCTTGAGAGAGTTTCCAGTTCTTGGAACAGGAAGGGGAACCCAGCAGAGTACAGTACTTTTTTTGAGTTGAGGGGAAGGAGCTGAGAGTCTGAAGGAGAATAAAAGCTTCTGGAGTTTTCAGGACAGACTACCAACAAGCAAAGAATTGCACACAGAAAGAAACCCAGAGATCTGTAGAGAGTTCTTTTCTAGTATTTGGCAGAGTACACACAGTGCACATGCACGTGTGTGTGAGGAGCCAACCTGAGGTCAGGAAAATAAGTTTTCCAAAAAGATTAGAAGTAGCAGTGCCCAGGGTTCACAAAAAGCCAGGAATAGTGGTCCAATCTCACCAGCCAGGGCACTGGGTAGTCCCTGTGGAAGAGTCTTGCCTTAATAATGGGAAATTATGAATGAATCCTGTTGCAGTTCTACCTAACAAATCTTTAAGACCTAAAAGAAACAAACTCTTTCCAAACAACTTAATAGTGTTCCAAAACAAAGTTTAAGAATATTTATAGGAATACAAAAATACCCACACCTAACAAGTAAATTTCACTATATCTGCCATCCAACAAAAATTGTCAGGCATGCAAAGAAGTAAGAAAATACGACCCATATTAAGGAGATAAATTGTTCAATCGAAACCATGCAGAACTGACACAGATATTATAATTAGTAGGACATTAAAACAGTTGTAACTATATGCATATGTTCACAAAGTTGAGTAGAGATATAAAAGATGTAAAAGAAAAAAGACATAAAACTTTTAAATGAAAACTATAATAAAAGTGAACTGTAGGACAACTTCAAACAATACAGTTGGAGCTTCCAAAACAGAGGAGAGAGAGAGAGAGAGAGAGAGACAGAAAAAATACTTGAAAAAATAATGGTTGAAATTTTCCCAAATTTGATGGAACTATAAATCTATAGATCCAAGAACCTCAGAAAATACTCAAGTACATAAACATAAAGAAAACAACTCTAAGGCGCATCATAAAACTGGTGATACAGAGAAGCTCTTAAAAGCAGCCAGAGAGAATAAAAGGCATTACAGAAAAGCAAGGATGAGGATGACTTTAGATTTCTTGTTCAACACAATGTGAGTGAGAAAATAGTTATCTTGGTCAGCTTGGGCTGCTATAACAAATTACCATAGACTAGGTGATATAAACAACAAACATTCATTTTTCACGGTTCTAGAGATTGGAAAGTTCAAGAGCAAGATGCAGGCAGACTTGACGTCTGATGAGAGCTCACTTTCTGGTTTGCAGAAGGCCATCTTTTTTATTGTGTTCTCACATGGCAGAGAGCAGAGAGAGAAAAGGCAAGCTCTCTTGTGTATTTTTATGAGAACACTAATTTCATTCCTGAGGGCTCCACTCTCATGATATAATTACCTCCCAAAAGCCCCACGTTCCAATATCATCAACACTGGGTGTTAGGATTTCAACATATGAATGTGAGGGGAACATAGTTCATAGCACTAGTGAAGCAACATTTTTAAAGTGCTAAAATAAAAATACTATCAACCTATAATTTTATAACCAATAAAAATATCTTTTAAAAATGAAGGCTGGCTGGGCGCAGTGGCTCACACCTGTAATCTCAGCACTTTGAAAGGCTGAAATGGGCAGATCACCTGAGGCCAGGAGTTTGAGACCAGCCTGGCCAACATGGTGAAACCCTGTCTCTACCAAAAAATACAAAAATTAGCCTGGCATGTTGGTGGGCTCCTGTAATCCCAGCTACTTGGGAGGCTGAGGCAAAAGAATTGTTTGAACCCAGGAGGCGGAAGTTGCTGTAAGCTAAGATCACACCACTGCACTCCAGCCTGGGTGACAGAGTGAGACTCCATCTCAAAAAGTAAAGAAATAAAATTAAATAAAAATGAAAGCAAAATAAATATGCTCCAAACTTAACAAAGGCTGAAAACATTTATCACTACTACATGATGCACTGTAAGAACTATTAAAGGATGTCTTTCAGGCCACAGGAAAATGATGCCAGATGGAAATATGGATCTACACAAAGGAATAAACATCAGAAATTGAATTTCAGTGCCTTAGTTTGTATACACATGCTTGAGCCAACAGGGTGTTTCAGGCAATACCTCATACTTGCAACTTTCTCTGGGGGATTACCCCTGAACAACTGAAGCCATCTTACCCCAGATACCTGAGAATTTTACTGCCTTCCCTACCCTGGCAGCCTATGGCCAATGACCACCTGCGATAGGGGTGCTAAAGCCCCTTTCCTAGCCTCAAAATGGGACAGTTTCTGTGGCACAATTTGTACTTCAAAGTTCTCTGTGGGATCAGGTGAAGCTAGACTTCACCTTAACCCACATTCTTACATAGCTCCTTTTCCTTCCCTACCCTGCCTCTCTCATTCCTTTATCAGTTTCTCCTGAGACTGCCTTAAAAATATATCACATTTGGTGGCTTACGCCTGTAATCCCAGCAGTTTGGGAGGCTGAGTTGGGCTGATCACTTGAGGTCAGAAGTTCAAGACCAGCCTGGCCAAAATGGCGAAACCCTGTCTCTACTAAAAATACAAAAATTATTTTGTATTTTTGTACAAAATAAAAATGTTTTGTACAAAATATGTGGTGGTGGTGAGCGCCTGTAATCCCAGCTACTTGCGAGGCTGAGGCAGGAGAATCACTTAAGCCCTGGAGGTGGAGTTTGCAGTGACCCAAGATCACGCTACTGCACTCCAGCCTGGGCGACAGAGCAAGACTGTCTCAAAAAATATATATGTTACATCTTTCCCATGATGACCAGAACAATCCAGCGCTTAGTAACCCTTTTCAGTGTAGTCACTGTCTCTGAGAAATAAATAAACATCTATTTGTTTAAACCACTGGAAAAAAATTTTGCATATATATGAACCTCTGTTTCAGGCTCAGCTTCTGGAAAACCTGAATTAGGAGAGGCACAGAGTATAAAAATGTATCCAATGTAAATACTGAGCAGATGGCATTAACATCAGTAGAGCCTCACAATAACCGAGCTACAAGATGATCATCCTGTGGATATAAGTCAGTCTCTTTTTTCAGTTGTTCTGTTGCTTACTTAGTGGGCTTGTGTATAGAAACCCAACGTGGTTGTCTTAGTCCATTTGTGCTCCTATAATAGAATACCTGAGACTGAGTAATTTATAATGAGTGGAAGTTTGGCTCACTGTTCTGGAGGCTGAAAGTCCAAGATCAAGAAGCTGGCACCTGTCAAGGGCTTTCTTACTATGCTATCACATGGCAGAAGGTAGAACGGCAAGCAAAGACCTAGAAGAGGCTAAATTTGCCCTTTTATAACAGTACCAATCACACCCATGAGGGTGGAGGCCTTGTGTCCTGATTCTTAAAGTCTCTCTCTTCTTAAAGGCTCCACCTCTTTATATTGTTACAATGGCAATTAAATTTTAACATGAGTTGTGGAGAGTAACAAATGTTCAAACCATAGCAGTGGCCATGACATGAGAAATGCAGGCCATGTCTTAGTTCAACAGCATGGACTTCCCCACACCAAGACTGATTTGGCTGCTGCTGCTGTTGAATGCATAATATGCCAACAACAAAGGCCGATGATGAGCCCCTCATATTATATCATTTCCTTGGGAGACCAGCCAGCCACCTGATGGTAGATCAATTACATAGAAGCCCTTCCATCATTAAATGGGCAGCATTTTTATCTCACTGAATTTTTTTTCTGAATACGAATAATTGCTTCTGTTCAGTTTGCTTTAACTAACAGCACAATCCATGGATTTATGAGATTCCTATTCACCCCCAAGGTATCCCACACAACATCACTTCCAACCAAAGAAGTCATTTTACCATAAATAAGTACAGCAAGGGATTCAACTGGTCTTACTATGTGTCCCACCATCTAGAAGCAGCTGGCCCAATAAAATGGTAGAATGGTCTGCTAAGGACTCAATTATGGCAGACATAATTGGGAGACAATACTTTACTAAGTTGGAATATTGTCTTATAGGATGTGTTTTGAGCCAATAATTTATATATGTTTCATTTTCTCTACTGGCAAGAGCACACAATTTGGAAACCAAGTGATGGAAATGGGAGGGCCTCCTTTTTACAATTAATAATCTGTTTGCAAGAGTTTGTTGACTTTGTCTGTAACTTTGACTTCTGGTCTAGAAGTCCTAATTCCCCAGAGAAGAATGCTTACATCAGGAGACACAATAGTTCCGTTCAATTGGAGGCATTTCTACTCAATGAAGACTGAGAAGACCATGTCTGGAATCAGGAATTCCCTGGGGCACCTCTTAATACTAGCATATTCAATAGAAAAGGTCAGTGTGGAAGAGGAGGGTAAGAGTGACCACAAAAATTCAGGACAATTAAGGACTAAAACCCATAAAGAATGAAGGTGTGGGTCACCTCACTGTGTAAAGAATTCTAACCGGCCAAGGTTCTGATCGAAGACAGGAGTGTTATGGAATGGGTAATGGAAAAAGGATATGATAAATATCAACTGTGGCTTCATGATCAGATATGAAGCTGAGGACTGAGGCTGCAGTGTTATGTGTATTTAAACCAGTAATTCCAAGCCTCTGCCTGTAAAGGTAAACTGAGGCTGGAGCCGAACCAGGAACGAAGACACAAGGCAAATGGCAGTGAGAGTAGCCTTTTATTAGGGCTTGCGGGCGAG